GGTACATTGTCTGACCTTTCCGGATTGGTGGGTCTAGAGAGATGACAACAAACGTATGTGGCTGGTTTGACTGCTCAGGCATAAAACAGATAGCGAGAGTTCCATTAATAGGTATCATCATACGATATTCCTCTAATCTGATGACAGCTAACATAAGTAGAAAAGATATTCCCTGAGATATGATTAAAAATATTACCTTTGGAAGCAAAAACAAGCGGACAACACTACTGTATTGGATTTTGAAGTCATTAGCTTGTCCATTCAATCGTAAAAAAGAAAGGTGAAGCTCCACATTATACCGACCCCTGTGAAAGAAAAAACCAATCTCAGCCATACAGTAGCACAACGAAGTGAACAATTAATACTCTAATAGTAAGAAAAAGATGACAAGTTTTACCTGGGTGTGAGGATTGCAATACCGTCAAATGTGGCGACTGCCTCTTCAAATCCAGCACCAACGTCAGCCACTACCTTAATTTCGTCACAGAGAACCTGAGACATGCACTTGGCGTCAACAGGATAATACTTGAGACATGTCCGTATAACTAAAAAGGATCAGCAGCTTACCTGAGCAGATGTACGATTTTCATCACCAACAAACTGGGTGTTGGAGTTAGGAACATGAAAACTTATCTCCATCAGCGAATCTTTCTGTAAATGCATATAATAGAATCAGGAACTCAGCTAGCGCATGTACACTTACATACATATTAGCCTAGACATTACATTTCTAAAGAAACCAGGTTGCAGTAGAAATAGGTACCTCATTGGCGCCAGCAGTATCATCAACATGAAATTCCAATAAGACGTCAGTTTTCCCTTGAAGCTGAGTCTGTGAAACATCAGCTAGGGATACTTCAAAAGCTTGCTTTGCACCAACCGAAAAGGTTAGTGAATTCCCTGCAAAAATAAACAGAGACACCAAGAACGTTTTCACTTTAGAAATGGACTAGGGGAGCTTAAGTAAACTTAAAAGGCTCAACTAAATGCATATGGTGATTATTACCGACTAAAAAATCGCTCTACAAATAGAAAACAGTCTCCAAAGAACTCACCATTGAAATGCACCTCTCCAAAATTGCGACCACTGACAGATAGTTGTTTCTCTACGGGTGTTTTTCCAAAAGTACTTTGGAAAAAGCTAGTCAGACTTGTAACATCCTATATTGTATTGACCAAACAAACACAGAGTATGAAATCAAGTTCAAATACAACGAAGATATAGGCAACAGAAGCAAGAAGATATGCGCAAACCTGATCCCGAAAACCAATGAACTTATAGTATATCCCATCTTTGGTGTTTACTCCCAACTGATTTGTCCTTGGAACTTTCATCCAACTGAGACCAACAATATCAGATCTATCGACTTCCACAGCCTTCCCACCACCTTGCTTCTTCCATTGAATGCCTCCAGAGTTTATTTTAAGGAGGCCAGGATTCTGCAGCACAAAATTGAAACCTCAATTAAGCACATAATATGCTCAGGAATATAAGAGCCCTAAACAACTACCCTTTATGTGTCGAAAAACTGGCTAACATATGCACGGAACAACACTTAAAACTAGGTATCACAAAAATGTAGGCCAAGAATTTCCATCAATCTTTAAGATGCAAGAAGAGCAACGAGGTGTAACGATTTTTGCACTTACAAGATCAAAATTAAAAAACAAAAAAACAAAATGTGAACCAGAAAACAACATACGCGACACTGAATTTTTTCCCCGATACTCACACATTCATCAAACGACGGAAAAAAAAAAAGGCTACAAGAATAAGGAATTAGGGTTTCGAAGCAAGCGGAAAAGGCGAAAGCGATATAAAAGGAAATTCAAAGACTCTACAAAAACCAGCGTAATAAGAGATAGAGACAGAGAGAGGGAGGATCACACCGTTCCGCCGCGACCGCTGAGAGAGATATTATTGAAGTTATGGCCGTCCGTCATAGCTCCGATGAGAGACGAGCGAGAGGAGAAAGAGAGAGTGTCCTTTCTTTTTCACACAATGAATAAGAGCGGTGGAGTGCGGTTTTTAGTCTTTTATAATAAAAAATTCCGATTTTATTACTTTATTTTTAATAATCTGGGGTTATTTTTGTCTTTTGACAGCAATTTGTGGTTAATTACTCAATTTAGATGACTATCATTCATGTTTTCTTTTTGAAATATGTTTACTCAAGACATTAAAGGAGATTAATTAGCTCTGACAAGGGGTTTAGTTAACAAGAAAAAACAATTTCATGTTTATAGCCTAAACTTCCTTTTGCCTAACCTTTTCATATAAAATTATAAATAAAGATTCGACATTTTCTCTTTTGTTCAAACATTACCAAATGGAAAACAAGCTCATAGTACATGTTGTATTAACCCCAAAAAAAGGCCAAACTATCAACTCTTTATCCAACGTAATGGCCTGGAATCTTCAGAACTGTTTTCTTTTGCTCCTGAAGAGTCTATCTCTTTTCGAGTACACGTAAACCAAAGCCATAAACCCTACTCCAGACACTGAAACAGTTCCCCATGGAAACGGAGGATCTTTGAAACAATTGAGACTCGCTTCCAACTCTTGTGACGCGAGGTACACCACTGAATGCATCGAGTACAAGTCGTGCGAAGCTGATCTCACGTAGTACAAAGCCATCTCGAAATCATTGTGCGATAACGCAGAAACCGATTTCTCCATCTTGTACTTCAGAAGATTCCACCTTTGCATGAACTCAGAGTGCCGGTTCTGTTTCAGAAGGTTCACGTCTCCTCCATAAGCAACCGCGGAATCAATTATATCAATGGCACTTGAGATAGTTGTGTTCAACGATGTCAAAAGCACGTTCCTCTTAGCAGCATCTTTCTGAACAAACGAGAGAGACGAGATGTCAGAGAAAGGTCCAAACGGTGTCTGACCAACGCTCCATGTGTAGTCTACTAGCGTCGAGTTATGTCTCGGGCTCCACGTCAAATGAGTCGAAGACACGCCCCACATGCTCTGGAGAATGGAACCGACGAGAGGTCGTTCTAGGTCTCTTGTATGGACAAACACATGACGCCCATTGCAGGTATAATCACTCACGGTTTGTGTTCCTCTGGTTCTAACAGCAATAACCATGTCTTTGAAAGCAACTGACTGGTGATACCTATCAAGCAACAAAGGCGTATTGATATCCAGATCAAACACATAAACAGGTAAAACCCTAGAAAACTCCTCTTCTTCATGGATCCCTGCAACTCTTCTCAGCTCCTCTGCTGATTCAGTCAGTGTCCGATGCATATGCTTAGAATCCAAATACTCACTCACTATCAAAGTGTAGTTATCAAACAAGAACCTAGACGTGTATGAGTTCATGCCTCGAGATACAGCAAATGAACAAATCGGGCATTCTCTGTAATTCACACTGAAACTTTTGAAGCTCAATTTCTGTTCTCCTAACAACAACCCACCATTGTTAGCTTCTTCCATGAATGTTCTCTTGACAGATTCCAAATCTAACCCAATCGGATCCTTATGCTCCGATCCGTAAATGTGAATAAACTCAACTACCAACGATTCCTCAAAGTAGACAGGGATTCTCAGAGAAGGAACAATCAGTACGTGATACGCATTGTACACAAGCGAGGCCAAATCCGCAAGCAAAGCTTTCTCTGACTTGGGACGGCCATGGAAAGCTGCAAGTGGGTGGAACTCGCCTCTTGGCAAAACACCATCGCCGGATAACGCAGGACCGTAATCCACAGGTCCGGCGGAGAGATCAATCCAGAGATAACGGTCCTTCCCGGTCCAGATACTACCCAAGCATTTCGTGAACCCAGCAGACGAATCGCCATGGGAGTAGCTATACGCGTAGGGTTTTGACTGAGGGCCTAGAGAGATCAGGTAAACATAGACGCCGCCGTCTCCATGCTTCTCTTTCTCATACTCTTGCCTTACGATCTCGTCGATCGAGCCGTAGGGAACGGAGAGGAGCTGAGATCGGAGGGAAGAGGTTGTGCCGGCGATAAGGGATTTCAAGGAGGCGTCGAGGCGGGAGGAGAGAGAAGGGGGAGAGAGGGAAGCGTCGAGGTGGAGAGAGTGAGAGACGGCGAGGCGGTGATCGGCGGAGGATTCAAGAGGAGGAGAGATGACATGGAAGTTGTCTCCAGTAACGGCGGCTGAGATGAAGGAGGAGAAAGTGGAGGCGGCGGAGGAAGGGAAGGAGTCGCCGACGAAGCGGACGTGTAGGGAGACGGAGACGGAGAGGGAGAGTAGAGACTGGGAGAGAGAGGAGAAGTGGAGAGAAGAGGAAGCAGAGGAGAGAGACCGCTTGAGAGAGGATGAGAGAGATCCGAAAGAGTCGTTCGTAGCTTTTGGGTCGAGGCGGAATTGGTTGGTCAAGAAGGTGTCCAATCCTGGAATCGGAGCAGAGTTAGTGGCGGTGAGAAGGAGTAAGAGGATGAAGATTCCGGCGGATCCGCCATTGAAGTAGGTGGTGTTGATGCGGTGGTGCGTCATGCGAAAACGGAGCTCCTCGGGGAAAAGAGGAGAGAGTGTTAAGAGAGAAAAGTCTTCTCGATCTGTTCTGTTCCACAGCTAAATCTCAAATTGGGGGTAGTAGCATTAGGGATTTGATTTCACTCTATAAACATTTGGGCTACAAAAGCATATGTTTATGTCCGTAAATGTTTGTCACAAAATGGTAGAAATCAAATGGGCAAAAACTCAACCACACTAGTCAGTGTTTACTGTTCATGAAAATATCTCTTCTTTTTTTGGTTGACACCTCATGTTAAATTAATATGTGTGATTATTGATTCCACAATTAGTTTGTTGTATATTAAAAAATATTTAATATTGATTCAATCAACTAATCAGCATCTACAGTTTGAGATTTTGGAGCAGGAATTGGACATGTAGAAGAATTTGAGAGTTTCCTACGATAAGACTTCGACAAGAACTTAAAACATATATTACCCAAAATTCAGAGATCCAGTGATATATTACGCAGGGAAAACCAACTTTTCAAGTTTCATCATTGGACCTAAAAAGTATAAACCATTCCAAATAATTTAACAAAGTGTTATAAAAGTGCATGATAAATAGTTTGATAGTACAAGAGTTTACTGGGAGAACCAAGCAACATATGGCAAAAACAAACAAACAAATTGAAGAGACTCTTATTTGGGTAAAAATAATACACGCACTCACGTAGAGTGACAGAAACAGTGAATGTAAATCCGCAGATTTTCTCTGGTAAACCGGAGCACTGAAGAAAAACCAACAACAACCAAGCAGGTTCTTTCTTCTTATTCTCCAATTTTAAGACACATTACACATTTTAATGTGTGTTTCACTTTTTGCCAGACTCAGAACATGTAGACAACACTGTCGTGGATCCTCGACTTCTGGTTCTGTGCAACACATTCTGATATCCACATCAGGTTCCTGATCTCCTGCTCCCTCAACCTCATATACGCAAAGAATACCGCGTAATGAAACTGCAAAACTCAGGTTTAATCAACCATCATTAGCATTAAACATAAACTGACAGAAAGTTACAAACAAGACGCGTTAGGCAATCGGACTCTAATGTATTAGACTCTGAACTTTTGGAGTTTCTATGGAAACAAACCTGCTGCTCAAAGGCTAAGCAAAGCCTTCTGACTTCTTCTTCATAAAACGCCTTGTCGAGCATCTGGCTCTCTCCATAAGACATCTTGGAGAATATTGCTTGGTACGGAGGGTATTTCTCCATAACACCACGAACCTATCAGTGAACAATAATGGGATTCATTGAGCAATATTTGTAGCACAACATATATATTTACAATATATTAGCTTGCGGATTTACCTGATCTATGTCTTCACAGATAGCAAGCTCCTCGTGGCCATATGGATAACTGAAGAAGCAAAAATAAAAACCATGGTGAGAAAAGGCTAGTTCAGAGTTTTATGCAACCATTGAATGGAATGATCGTTTGTCTGTAGAATGCTTACAGGAGACCAAAGTTAGAGTACAGTTTCTTCCTGTCTTCTCTTGTGAGCTCAGTGCCAATGCTGCATAGAAAAGGAAACCCAGTTTCAGTGCCTATATGAACAAAGCAACACAACAATGGTAACATCTTGTGGTTTCATGCACGATGACAACCGTAGAATTAATTACCTATTGATGGTGATATTCACTGCTCTTCTGTCGGCTTCAAAGGCCAGAAGGTCAGACATTATCTCTGATGTTGCCCCACCAAGTTTCTACTTCGGATACATAGCGAAAAACAGGTTAAGTATTATTGGCAGATTCTGAATTTTAGTAAAAATATATAGGAGCCGACTAGCACCTGACAGAACTTGTAGAAGTCCTCAAGGTATGCTTTGTAGAGGGTATTCCTCATAATCTCAATGTTCATGTCATCCAAATCCTGAAAGAAACAAGTATATTGTGATATGAAAATCATAATTTTCCAATGTATCCGCTAACCAGAAACTAATGGCACAAGGTCAAAAAAAAAAAAAAAGAATTACAAAAGTAAATATTTCAGCTATGCACCTCTGATGTTAAGCATTCAGAAAAATATGGAGCCAGAGGAGTGTCCACAAGCACCAACCTATAGAGCTCCCTCATGTTCTGAGCAACTGCTAGTGTAGCAATACTGGAAAAGAGGAATCATAAGCAAAAACATAAAAAAAGGAAAATAAAAAGGGTATAAAGAAGCTGCGGGAAGAGTTATAGAACATGCAAAGGTCAATTCAAGTACCTGTCAAACATGCCTAAAGGGTGACATTTCTCGATCAACTCTTGAACATCTCTCTCGTGCAGGGTTCCAGTAACAATCAGCACGACATTGTCAATCATATGGCCGTATCTGCATTATAATATAAAGAAAAACGAACCGATTATCTCAAAGGCCAGCGTCTTATTTTGATAGATCATATACTAAACTAATTCCAGGGAAGAAACAAGTAACAATATAAGCTAGCATCTAAACTACAAACAAAAATGATCAGAAATCTTTGCCGTCAACATGCTGAAACGAATAACGGTTCCATTTCACTGTAATCTCGTAAAAGGTAAACCTTCAGGAAAGCAACAAATTTTACACACTATGATGTACGTTGAGAAGGATTTTGGCAAAGCTAAATACCAACAAAATTACTAGGCTAAATACCAACAAAATTACTAGGCCAAAAACAACACTATAGCACCATATTCTGTTGAGCTAAAATCATAACTTTATGGAAAGATGAGCAATATCTTGCTTACCTGATGTACTCTAAGAAGGTTGACATAGGCTCAGTTGCCTGGCAAAGCATATGCTTATAATCATCAACAAGCTTGAGCGTACACTTCTCCACAATTGTGGTGGTATGCAGAGGTGACGGTTCTGCAGCCAAGGATTGGAAAATCTTAGGATAAAGAATAATTTTTTAACAATGATGAAATGAAACAGAGATTCAGATAATATCAGAACTAACAATTGTGCAGATTTCAAACAGATGGACAGTTGTCTTTACAAAAAATCAAGGTACTGAGAGACTCAAGAAATGACTGTCTCGTATAAAACATCAGATTTCAGATCCATTTATGAAGATAAATGGCATTCAAATTAAAACTGCCGCTGGAAACCAAATTCACATTGGTCAACGGGAAATTTCACCAATTCCCACATCAAATAGGAGAATGAAATCATTTCAAAGACTAAAACCCAAAACCCATATGCAATGAAACAAAATCAAAGACAACTAATCAAATTCATTGGCCATCACAGATTGGCAGAGCGATCATATGCGGAAGACGCACCGTTTTGGAGGTAAGAGCCGTATTTGGTAGCAGAGAGGTGCATCTTGATGTCGTCAAGGTTTTCACACTGGCACAGATTGTTGTAATCGGCGGTGGTGAGAAGCCCAGCACGGTGGCCCCTCACGATCGCCTCCAAGTACCCGCCATGGATGTTGAACGTAAGCGCTTCGAATCCGTACATCCTTCTCTCCTTAACCTTCCGGAGAATTACAGGATATTCAGATCTCAAAGAACTTCTCGGGAGATCTGAAGAAAAAAGAAATTGAAGCAGAGATCGACGCGAAGAAGATAGCTGTGAAATTGATTGATTAGTTTGCGAACTCGTCCGTGGCACGTTGAAACTACGATTTTATCCTTAGCACCGGTCTGCTAAATCCAAGAAGATAGTAGCTTTTTAAACCGTTCTATTAAACCGAAGAATGTAGCCTGCAAAATTGAGATTCCGATATTGTTTTTGGGTCTCGGCTTCAGATGAACCAAATGATCAATGGTGTTTTCGCCTTTTTTGGGTAAACTCTTGAAAAATAGTCTACACTTGAATAACTCGAAGTCTATGAACTTTTTTACAAATTTAAAATTGATTGCCAATCAAATATAGCATTTCGAGGATTACAGTAGTTTACTGGATGCAAAATATGGCAACAAAAAAAGACGAATAAATAGGAGAGATTCTTATTGGGAAATTTTCATACATGCACTCTCACTCAGACATAACAATGAATGTAAAACTGCAGATTGTACATGCAGATTTCTCTGGTAAAAAAGGAGCAATGAAGAAACCACCAACAACAAAATTGGTTCTTTCTTCGTACTCTCCAATATTAAGACATTACACTTCTATGTGTTTCAACACTTCTTGCCAGACTCAGAACATGTAAACGACACTGTCGTGGATCCTCGACTTCTGGTTCTGTGCAACACACTCGGATATCCACATCAGATTCCTGATCTCCTGCTCTCTCAACCTCATATACGCAAAGAATACCGCATAATGGAACTGCAAACTCAGGTTTAAACAGCCACTGTTAGTCTTAGACATGGGTCTAGAAACAGCTATAACAACACATCATGTTAGGGGAAAGGGGAAACAAACCTGCTGCTCAAAGGCTAAGCAAAGCCTTCTGACTTCTTCTTCATAAAACGCCTTGTCGAGCATCTGGCTCTCTCCATAAGACATCTTGGAGAATATTGCTTGATACGGAGGGTATTTCTCCATAACACCACGAACCTATCAGTGAATGATAATGAGATTCATTGAGCCATATTTTAAAACTTTAATATGTTTATAATATATCAGCTTGCGGATCTAGCTACCTGATCTATATCCTCGCAAATAGCAAGCTCCTCGTGACCATATGGATAGCTGTTAAAAGAAATATCAAAACCATGGTGATGGAAACCACTTTAGAATATTATGCAATCACTGAATGGAATTATCATTTGACTGTGGAATTCTTCTTACAGGAGACCAAAGTTAGAGTACAGTTTCTTCCTGTCTTCTCTTGTGAGCTCAGTGCCAATGCTGCACAGAAAAGAAAACCCAGTTTCAGTGCCAATATGAACAAAGCAACACTATCATGCGGAAGATATACAGCAGTAGTTACTAACCTATTGATGGTGATATTCACAGCTCTTCTGTCAGCTTCGAAGGCCAAAAGGTCAGACATTATCTCTGCTGTTGCCCCACCAAGTTTCTGTTTTGGATACCCGACAAAAAGATGGGGTTAGCTAGTATAGGTGGATTCTGAATTTTTTTCAGAAAGTTTAGGAGTCGACTAGCACCTGACAGAACTTGTAAAAATCCTCAAGGTATGCTTTGTAGAGGGTATTCCTCATAATCTCAATGTTCATGTCATCAAGATCCTACAAAAAATAAACACTATAAGATTTGTACGTGATATAACAATGGCACAAAACTGAAAACAAAAAACTACAAATGATAAAAAGTTTCAGTTTTGTACCTCCGAGGTTAAACATTCAGAAAAGTACGGAGCAAGAGGAGTGTCCACAAGCACCAACCTGTAGAGTTCCCGCATGTTCTGAGCAACTGCTAGTGTAGCAATACTGGAAAACAGAAAGCAATGAGAAAAACATAAAGGTGAAAAAGAAAAGCGGTCTGAAGCAGCTACGGGATGAGGTCTAGAAGATGCAAAAGGTCGATTCGAGTACCTGTCAAACATGCCTAAAGGGTGACATTTCTCGATCAATTCTTGAACATCTCTCTCGTGCAGGGTTCCAGTAACAATCAACACGACATTGTCAATCATGTGGCCATATCTGCATTACAATAGTAAAAGAACAAACCCAAAATCTCAAAGGGCAGCTAGCATTTGAAGAAAAACAGAATGACCATAATCTTTCCGTTAAACATAGGGAAACGAATAATTGCTCAGTTTTGTTGCAGTCTCGGCAAAGGTAAAACTTTTAGGGAAGCAACAATTCTTACATTATGATGTACATTGAGAAGGATTTTGGCAACAAACTTACCTACCTTAATTCTGGAAACTAAAAGATGGGCCACCAAAGACAACAATGTAGCAACCATCCCCTATTGATCTAGAATCATGATTTTACGGAAAATGAGGAATGCCTCGCTAACCTGATGTACTCTAAGAAGGTTGACATAGGCTCAGTTGCTTGGCAAAGCATATGCTTGTAATCATCAACAAGCTTGAGAGTGCACTTCTCCACAATTGTGGTGGTATGCAGAGGTGACGGTTCTGCAGCCAAGGATAAAGAACAGTTTTTTTTTTACAATAATGAAGCAGATTCAGATACAAGGACTAACAATTTTCTTAACAAGAAATCGAGAAATTGAGAGTCACTTTCTCGTCTAAAACATCAGATGTCAGATCCATTTATGTAGATGAAGGACATTTAAATCATAACTACCATCGGAAACCAATTTCACATCAGTCATGACTCATGGGGAAATTTCACTAATTCCCACATCAAATTAAGGACTGATATTTTTAAATGCTTAAAACCCATGAAACAAAATCAAAGTCAAATAATCAAATTCTTTACACAAATGAGTCAAATTTGGAGACATCACGGATCATATGTGAAAGACGCACCGTTTTGGAGGTACGAGCCGTATTTGGTGGCGGAGAGGTGCATCTTGATGTCGTCAAGGTTTTCACACTGGCACAGATTGTTGTAATCGGCGGTGGTGAGAAGCCCAGCACGGTGGCCCCTCACGATCGCCTCCAAGTATCCGCCATGGATGTTGAATGTAAGCGCCTCGAATCCGTACATCCTTCAATTCTTTCCCCTTCCGGAGATATTCAGATCTCAAAGATTTTCGGGAAGATCTGAAGAAAAAAATTGAAGCAGAGCCAGAGATCGACGCGAAGAAGATAGCTTTGAATGTGATTTGATTTGTTTGCAATCTCGTCCGTGGCAGATTGAACTACGGTATTATCCTTTAACCGGTCTGCTAAATCGAAGACGCACACGCGCGTAATTACTAAACCGATAAATGTACCGAACGAGAAAACCTTCCTTCAGGTTAGTTTTGGTTTAGTTTATCGGTTTACCTTTTAAACTCTTTGGGGTGGACATTATACAGTATTTGCATTTACATTCTATCTAAAACTGTCATTGACTAACATAACACTCATCTCAAGTCTCAACCTAAATTTCTCTTCTTTTTGTGTTAACTTAAACATTAAACCATTTTCTGTGAAAGCACGAACTGGCAAGTGTAGAGTACTCCTTGTGAATAAAACTCAAGAGTGCTACAGATGGTCTTATTAAACATTTTTGATAGTAACATATAGCAAATAAAAAAGAATTCGAAAGCTGTTGATCACTTTCACAAACCGAAAAATATACCGAGTTAAAAAGAGGGTGGCTTCTCTAAAAGTTTCAATTTTTCTACTGGAATGGAGCGGGAATGCCTTGGTTTCGGTTGACAATAGCCATAGCAAGATACCTCGTGCCCATTCCAATCGGAGTCTGTTCATCAGGTCCTTCCCAGAAAGGTGCTTCACCATCTCCAACAAGCCGCCAGTATCCCGACCTCAAGGACTCAGCTTGCTCATCATCGCAGTTTTGTAGCAGCGCATCAACTCTGAAGTTTATTCCAAGCGAACCCAAGAACTGAGACTGAGTCATAGGTCCATGGACTGTGACATTCTCTGCACAATACACACGTTTGCATCTGGTAAGTAAGTTAACTCTTCATATTACAATGACGAGCAGTGAGTATAGGAATGAAACCTGAAGCTTCCTCAGCGGAGTGTTTTATTGAAGGAAAATCGACATAAGCACTTAGATCTGCAGACCCTGGATCATCCAGTATGTTGACAAACTTGTGTTTTCTAATAGCCTTAGCCATAATGAAAAAAAAAAGATGGTTTAATGCGAAGACATTTTAAACATGATCAGAACATTTTTAGGCCACAAACCTGAAGACTGTCTGAAATGATTCCATCCATCCCGTAATCGATTATAAGTGCACCACCTCCATCAGAACCTATTCTCTTGGCCATTTCTTGTGTCAAATCCATTGATTTCGGGCTGATCTCGACATGCTCAAGTTTCTCCCTTTCTTCAGGTGTAGCCCACGTGCAACGTTTCATGAGATACAAGGCTGCAGGTGTAGGCTGCGGGGATAGAACAAAGCGGAACCTAAACCAACAACGTATCGATCAATTCTAGAGTTTTCTTTGCAAATCCCACTACTGAGATATATCCTTTTTCTTTGAATTCCTTAATACTTACTGTGAATCTTGTCCTACATCAACCATTTTCTCACACCAGCCACGGGAAGATTTCTGCATAAATTGGTCCACATAAGATACACATCAATTACTAAAAGAAGAAGACTATATTCCCAGTTTAACCCACACTTACCTGAAATTGATGAACTGGAAGAGCATCATAAAACTCATGAGCTATGATTATTGTTGGTACTGCCACGGAAGCAAAGATGAAAAAGATATTTCATGAGAAAAGATGCAGAGTATCATTGTTTTGAATGCTTAAGATATATTTTAGTACGTTGAATTTGGCTATATTAAGACAAAAACATCATAAATAATCACAATTAGAGAGGCTTAAATTCCAAGTAAATGTAACAAAATATGCATACCTCCTGATGGTACCTCTTCAAGAGTAGCGTGCCAGTGCACAGGTGTCCCAGCTAGTGCACTAATCGCTTTCTTCTCTGAAGAACTTTCATCTGTGCATTTCAGGTTCTGGTGCTGAAGCTTCTGCAACGCGGGACTGCATTCCACCAAGTGTATATGCAATGACTCCGTGAAATTTCTAAACTTTGATGTACCCTATATGTGAAAAGTCCCCAGTTAAGAGCAGTAAGATCGTTTGGCATTGGAGGTTTTGGGGACAGAATTAGAATTCTTAAGGATACAGCACAAGAGCTTAAATACATACACGAAGGAGATCGACCATGAGCGTTCCTCGACCTGGACCTAGCTCAATGAGATTAACCCTCTCTGGCCTTCCCATTTGCTCCCAAAGACACACAGTCCAAACGCCGATCATCTATGATCACGACACCAAGTGAGAAAAACCAATCTCAAGCTCGGACATAGAACCAAACACAAATGCATAAATCCTAAAAAACAAGAAATGCTAAGTAATTACCTCGCCGAACATCTGGCTAACTTCTGGAGAAGTAATGAAATCACCTTGAGCTCCAAATACATCACGATTCATGTAGAATCCTGCTTTAGGATTAGTCAAGACTTCCTCCATGTATTCCGCCACTGAGATTGGACCACCCCGAAACTGTGATGAATACCAAATTCACACATTTGATTCAAACTTCACACAAAAGCATCTTTCTAGAATCACACGATCAACAATCACGAGTTTCGATTTTTTTTCAAATATGAACCTCAAATATATGAATTGAAGATACCTTGATAATGCTCTTGAGGTGCTTGACGAGCTCGGAATCAGGTGTGGGTTCATGAGAGTGATCTGGACTTCCCCAAAACAATCAGCCCCCAAATCTGTCAAATTGAATCTCACTATAGAGTTTGGAGTGAAATAGGTACCAGGAGGATTGAAGAGAGCAGAACGGTCGACGGAGATAGTTGTTCCGGCGACGGCACCAGCCTCTTCGACATGTTCAACGGTGCCGCTCCCTGAGCAAGGTGGCTCCGACGAAGAGGATAATGAGGAAATCGATGAAAGAGAGGGTTTGGAGAAGAAAGGACTCCCGGAAGAGAGAAGACGGCGTGAGGGTGTTTGCGTCAGTAATCTTCTCAGCATCTTCGCAGTTCAAAATCTGCAGGCTCCGACATACCCAAGTAAGGTACTGGTCAAGGGTAAAGAAGAAACTTATTATTCTATTATAATAATGTAATTGTAACTTATAACATCAAAGGGGATGTAGCTCAGATGGTAGAGCGCTCGCTTAGCATGCGAGAGGTACGGGGATCGATACCCCGCATCTCCATATTTTTTTCAATATGAATGTTTATCTTCATTTAGTCAAATAATTAAAAACCTAATCTTTTTGCAACCATATTACACGACCATGATCCATCAAATGATTTATCCACTTTCGATATTTATTCAACATCCTCTAAAATCTCTAAAGGGATTTATATTTTCACCAAGTTATAGCAAAAAAAGCAAAGGCATATCCGTACATACATTACAGGGTACATATATAAGTTTTTACAGACAACATAGGTTTTTGATCCTTAAAAGAGCTTTACCCTCTCAACCTTTACATTTCTACACATTAAAAATCAAAATCTTTAGACCTTGAGGACCAAAGATATCTTCCTTGAGTTCCATCAACTCAAATAACACAAACAAGGATCCGAACATGCTAAACTTGCCAAGCTTCAGTTTCCACAGACCATCTCTTTTGCTCTGGCTAAAAAGGCTGCAAACGAGAATACCGTTCTTGAATCAGAAAGAATCAATGCAACAGGAAGCTGAAACATCCAGCCGCAATCCGCGAAACCTTGGTCAGACATGAAAAACTAATTCCTATAATTGAGTCATGGCTCTTTTCCTTTAGGCTTTGGTGATTGACGAGCATAGCGATAAGGTGAACCTTGAGGCAGGTTTAAGCTAGACAAACTCCTCAAAGGCGGTCCATTCCTCGCCACAAACCCTCCTCCTTGTGTTCTGATACCGTTCTTGGCAACAGGCTGCATTGTTTGGAAAGAAGAAGAAGAGCTAGCAAAGTCTTTAAGATTTGGTAAAGGCTTCAAGGCTTCGACAACTTCACTCATCTTTGGTCTAGCTTTGGAGTCTCGGTTAAGGCATTGCGCTGCTACTTGTGTGGCTTTCTGAGCACCCTTGATCGAGAAGTGGCCCTCTAAGCGAGGATCTAACAGTCGGTAAAACCTCTTCTTGTCTAAAAGATGAGGTCTCACCCATTCGACCAAGTTCTGTTCACCGTTGGGGCGGCTTTTATCCACTGATCTTCGTCCAGTTAGTATTTCAAGTAAAACTACTCCAAAGCTGTATACATCACTCTTCGTTGTCAAATGACCTGATGTTGAAATTGAAATTAGCAAGTCCAAAACATAAATAATACGATAACCAAAAATATGGGCGAGGATATCTCACTCACCAGTCATTACATATTCTGGTGCTGCATAACCATATGTTCCCATGACTCGGGTTGATACATGGGATTTTTTTTCGTCTGGAGCATCTTTTGCAAGCCCAAAATCAGAGAGCTTTGAGTTATATTCCTGAAATAGAAAGATTTGTTTCCAATATAAATAAGAATAGAGAGGATAAAGGCAAGAGCTTTTAGGCTTAATCGAGCTCTTGAGCTTCAGACATACCGCGTCTAGTAAGATATTAGATGTTTTGAAATCTCGATAAATGACAGGCTTCTCAGCTTCCTCATGAAGAAAGGCAAGACCTTTAGCTGCACCAAGTGCGATTTTCATTCTGACAGACCAAGGGAGAGGTAAAGTCCCTGAAACAAAAATGAGAAAACATAAAAATCGGTAAATGAGCAAGAATCCTTAAAATTGTCAGGCAAGATAAGATCCGGAGCGGTTTGTGATTTACATACTTCTGAAAAGATGATTCTCCAAACTCCCTCGAGGCATAAACTCGTAAACGAGCAGCCTTTGATCTTCTTCCATGCAATAGCCAACCAATTTAACTAGACTTGGATGAACAAGGTTTCCAAGAAAGTTAATCTCAGCCTGCACAATGAATAGCAAAATGATCAACAATTGTCCATAGACAACTAAACACGAGACTGTAACCACTATCAAGGTAAAGAGATTGGTCACTACCAGCCACTCCTTGTGACCTTGAAGGCCATCTGGGTTCAGTGTTTTGACGGCTACAGTTAGACCAGTACCAGGCTTGACGGGTGCTGTTCCATTTTCCTCTATCCATCCTTTGAAAACACAGCCAAACCCACCCTCACCAAGAAGAGATTCTGGTCTGAAATTCCTAGTGGCTAACTTGAGGTCGTTAAACATGAAAATTCGTAGCTTAGAAGAATACTTCAATTCCCCACTGATTAGAGGTGTTGATGAACCGCTCTCTGCACAGCTACTAACTTTAGATGGAGCTGGATGACCTTCAAGTTTCTCAACAACATGCTTAGGTTCTGCTGAAATAGGTGTATAACAAAACAAACATAAAAAAGAATGTGATCACTTAAGAATTGAAGTATGGACGAAACCATGTGAACGGTAAGATAAAGATCAAGCAGAAAGACAGGAACACAGGGCAGATTGTAGAATACTACAGCACTGAAATACAGGTTTGTTACAAAATTCCACCATTAAATCTCTCTGGTCATTAATTTCAGCAAAACTAAGGTAAATGCTCCAACAACGAGAGGAAGAATCAAAACCATCAACATAAGACAAACTATTGACCCGGACAAAAATCGCCTTTTGAAACATGGATATTTGCTCAACTGTCTCAAAGTACTTTTTCGTGGAAGGTTACAAAGGATCAATCTTGAGATTAATTCTTTATTAAAACAAAAAACAACTTCTACAATATAAGACACAATTTTCCAAAAAAAAACTTTTTTTTCTTTCAGATGATGAGCTTCCAATTAGAGTCATATAAAGTTGTAAGAAAAAAACAGCTAATTTTGGAAAAAAACTTGTCATCTACACAAATCCATAAGACTTGCAAACAAATTCTAATAATCTGCATAGAAGGAGAAATAATTTACCAATAACTGTAGTAGCATTCATGGAACTATCAACTTTTGATCTAGAAGAGATACAGCTAAACATGAGCTTGAATCTGAACCAAAATCCACTTTCACTCTCGTCTCCATCTTTCTTAACATTCTTCTTTTTACCCAACATCTTCCCCTTTTCAGGTTTTTCAGCACCCAATTTCTCCACCACCTTAACAGAGTCTTTCCCTGAAGACATCACCTCCTTATGAGCACTCAGATCACCATAGCTAAACCCAAACAACAAGGATTTTGGAAAAGAAATGAAAAAAAAAAGTCAAGAGAAGCCCCACTTCGATCAACCCTAGAATAGATCACTCTATCTGATCACATCCACAGTCATCAGTTTGAGTAGAAGAAAAAAAGCAGATGAGAAAAAAGAATCAGACCCAGAAAATGAAATTAACTGAAAGATGAAGATCGAAGAAGGGAAATAACATAAAGTCAGAAAGTTTGATCCTTTTATCCTCAAAAGCGAACATAAACAGGGAGGATTTAACAAAAGATCCAAGTAATACTTAGATGAAAGCAAACGATGGATACCACTTCAGTACAAGTGATTTTGAGCTCCTTAATTGGGAGACAAAGAAGAGATGATAAAACAAAGATATAAGTGAACGGAATTGGGATTAGCCGGAGAAAGTTTTAGTCAAAAGGGAGGATTTTTTGCGTGCGCGAGGCTAGAGAGAGATAGAGAGCAACGAAAGGGCATCTTTGTGTTAGAGAGAGAGTGAAAGTGGTCAGCAACGGGCAGTTTGTGTTAGAGAGATAGGCAAATTGGTCAGCTTGGGCAGCAAAATGTACGCCTACATAAATAATTAAGGGTTGATTATTAATTTTAAAAAAATCTGAAACTTAAAAAACTTTCTATAATGAAACTTAAAACTCTATTCTTCTAATATTTCAACGGAATTTCAGAAAATAATACAAAATGTTGATTGATTTGGTCACACATGATATAATCTTGAATATTAAATTATGAGAGAATCGTTAATAGTTCTTTAATATTTCCGAGAATAAATTATAGTTGATATATAGAGTCAGAGTTTGCTTAGTTCATTGCAATATATTTGTAATAATTTTCTTAGTTCATTGGATATGTTAGGAAAACTTTCTATATGATAGTTGTACTTTTATCAAGTATGAGAATTTTTGATAACTTTATTTACTCCTTTCCAGATTCTAAAATAGTAGTATTAATCAGTTCATATTATGTCCCATAAATAATGCGTAAACTATTTTAAAAAGGGGATAATAATTGAGCTAAAAAAAAAACACACAAAAAAAAAACAAGACGAAAGGGTCTTTTTGGATTGGAAGATAGTTTTGCTAACGTTACATCTAGAAGAATATAAGCTTTTGTGACACTCCCGTGTAAAGGTGCCACGTGGATACATCTGAGTGTTCAGCTAATGATAAACGGCAGGCAACTAACTTGTTGGAATTACAGGTGGTCTTCTTGACTCTTGATTCACACCAATGCATCTATCCTCTCTTTTTTATATACAAAAAAAAAATTCTGATAGACAAAATGGAAAAAAAAAAAATAAGAAAGAAAAGGGCGATTATCTGAAAAAAACAAAAATGTTTATAAGAGTGAACGTAGAGTCACCGGTGGACGGTGGAGAGAAGATGGAGATATATGCGGCGAAAACACAAGGACTGTTGGTGAAATTGCAAAGTTACGGCCGCCAATAGAGAAAAAAAAATACATACTTTTACATGTATTTTAATGATACGAAATCTAGGATTTAGGATTTAGTGTTGGGTTCGAATCTAAGAACGGTGATATGAATATCTCTTTAGTGGAAACTACTATCTAAAAGACTTCATTCAGAAAGAAAAAAAAAAACTACTAGTATCTTAAAGACCATGTCTTACTAAAGGCTTTAACTATTGGCATGGTCGCGCATACTAAATGTCAGAGGGGTCTTTGTGTGTTATATGTACGTTTTGAAGTTTCGGGTCTTTTCTAAAGTTATTAAATGTCAGAGGGATCTTTATGTCAGCAGAAACAAAAATAGAAGACAAAAAATGGAGATGCGGGGTATCGATCCCCGTACCTCTCGCATGCTAAGCGAGCGCTCTACCATCTGAGCTACATCCCCATTGTTTATATTGCTTGTATTCTAAAGTTTTGACATTCAAAATTTCAGTTTTCTTCCTTAAACAACAAAAAAGAAAATTTTACGAATTTGATTCTATAATGTAAAATATTTTTTTATATGGATGTACCCATTTTTTTTCTTGATTGAAGGTAGCCTCGAAAAAAAAAGAGAAATGAAAAAGCACCGGAATGGTTTCCAATAAGAAGAAAGGTCTCGCTGTAAGTTCTTCATCTATAACTCTATCAGGGACACAAAAAACAACTCCTTTTGTGGTTTGACCAAAACAGAGACCTCTGCACTTTACTAATCCTTCTGGTAAAGCATGAATCCTAATATAATCGAGAGTAACAGCACGAAACTCGCTACCAGAATAGGTATTTTAGACGCATTACCGGCGTTATCCATACTGTTGCTACCGTCTTCACGGCTTGTCCTTTCCACATTCCCGTCTAAGTGAAAGTTGGAAGCAGAAGACGCAGGAGATATCACGTCCCACATAGATTCCGCGGTCAATAAAGACGTTTCGCTTTCCACTTCCGAAATCTTTGATGCGTCAAGAGAAGAATGTTCCATGGACATTAACTCAATACAACGTTCTTTTACCACCTATTAAGAAAATCATCCAACAGGGGATAAAAAAAACATGTATTAGCAAGAGTTTACAAAGTGTGACGAATTTGAGACAGACATAGCAAGTTGATCATATACCTCAAGTGATTCAAATGGCTGTAGGTAATCACAGATGTATGTACCCGCCAACCACGGAACAAGAACTCTCCTGGGAAGACGAAGATGGCATGCTTTTCTATTTACAAACACCGTGACGAAATGTTAAGCTTTTTGTGTTAATCAGTGAACATACAGCAAACATAACCAGACAGACAAGCAACAGTTATTTTAGACGCTGACTCACGTAGATGAGTTTAATATGAATTTGGAAATGGGAATTTTTGACGTCTCAGCTTCTTCATTGTCTCCAACATCAGTTGGTATGAGATCCTGCTCAGCCTCATCACATATAATGTCTAGTCTACTTTGCAGACTCCTAGTAATGTCAGCCTAAAAAGAAATAATACGGCCATCAACAATTTTGTAAAACTTCAATAGGTCTAACATAACTGGGAAGAGACATAGTTGCAGTACCTTTATATCAGCAACAGCTTGTGAAACCGGTTCTTTCACGTTCAAGTAGGCATAAGAGAATATAGAACCACCGAAGAGTAGGATTCCAGTAACATTCTTTGCAGTTAATGCTTCTCAACATTACACCGTGATATTAGATTCAATAATCTAAAATCATAGCCAATAACAAACAAAATTTTGTGTGCCTAAATTAGAGTGAGGGAAACTTACCATCAGCACGACTATCTTTCATGAATGGGAATAAAATTTCAATTTCATGTTCGCCATCCGTGTTGCAAGGCTCATCGTTATGCACCTTCACTCCAACAACATTTAAGAAAAAATTACAAAACAGGGGAAGGTTACTTCCAGCCGAGAGATCATTCCTTTTATAGCTTACTTAATTTTACGGAGATGGCAATGATCAACGTATACAAAGAAACTATTTTCCGACAAACTATAGTGATGATGATGTATGAAAGAAGCTACATTTCAGAAAGACTCCATTCACAAAGAATAACTTAACTGCACAGAAGTTTTCCCGTAACCTTCAAATATGTTAAAATTTCGTTTTAAGTCACTAGAAATCTCAAGCTTTGAAAGCTCCAAAATGATTCAAGAACTCTATATCCAGTACTATTCAACAATCAGCACAGAAACATAAAAAGTATAGGGTCTGCTTTCTCCTCACCAAATCCCCATCAATCATTGCATTTGCACTCTTCAGCTCTTTTGCATGGACGGCAAGTTCTTGACGGAGAATCTCAGTAAATGTTTGTGAAGTTGACGCACCCCCACAGTAGATAGGTAATCTACCCGCAAAAAAGTGAAAAACAAATCAACAGAAAGAGGTCAGGAATGAATACAAAAAGGTTTACAGTAATTATACATGTATAGTTATAAATACTAGTATACTACATCCAAAGTAAACATACGGGACAAACAAACTTTCAAACCAATAAAAAAAAATACATGAACATTACATTCACCAACAACGAAAAGATAGAATGTAGAACTCCAAAATCCAAATCTAAATGCAAAGTCATACCTGAAATTGAAGCTGTAGCTGCACTTAAACCTCTGTAGAGAACTCAAAACCCTTCCAAGCTTAAAGTCACAAGGTCGAAGGCTACTTGATGTAATACTTGAGCTCAACAAACAAGTTCGACAATTCCATCTACAAACATTTCACATTAATAGTTAAGTATCAGATAGTTCTCATAATTTTAGTATCTGATCCTTTAAAGCGTGTACCTCCTTGGACTGTAGCATATGTGTATAAGAAGAGCTTCATCCAAGCTAGGATCCAAATGTCGTATTGCATCTGAAACCCCCTTAATAGCCTGATAAAAGTCCCATACTTTAGATCCTTCAACATGCATTAGAGTTGCAATAGCATACAAAAGATTACTCATTAACTCATGAAATATATTGTTTTATTTGCCCCTAAAATCTCAGTTTAACGAACGAAAAACACAGAGACACTGTCGAAAGAAGTCTCCTATTTACGAAACAACCATAGGTACACCTATCGACTATCGCAATGACCTCAATAAAGCATGTCCATTAAAATTAAAGCAGGAAAATCAATCTCACACAAAGTTACCTGACAAAGGATCATAGTTGAATTCTTAAAAGCACTGTCACTAGCCCATACATAGATACCAACAACCTTCACCCCACCCAAAAGCATTCTCGATACCTGAAGAGGAAACATCCATCACAATGTCAATCATCATGAACCATTCGCATTTCATATAAAATTCTCAAAACAACCGAAACGGGAGTGATACAGCATAGTCACAAAATGCATAAACAATAGTATCAAACCTGTCTGGCATGTTCTGCTACCCAATCAGAATCAATTGATAGAGAAGATGACTCCGATGACTGAGGTTTCGACTTGGATGGCTTCCTTTTATCATCTCTGGTCTCCAAAACCGAGCATGCTGGTTCTCCAGCATCATTGCTCGGTGTTGGGATCAAATCAAACACAAATCCACGATCCAGAACCGAACTAAGCTTGCCTATCACAAGACCCACCTGTGTTCCAATCATCAAATGAAACCCCACATCTCAAAAATCATTCTTTAGGACGCAGCAATTTCAAGGCAGAGACATATACATTTTTGACATAACATGAATTTGTGACTACCTCAGCAGGAATAGCTGACTGAGAGAGACGATCTTCAGCAGAAGTGAGTCTAGTATCTTCACCAACTACTGCTTTCACCATTGTTAAAGAGTGAAGAAATATCTGCAACAAGCAAACTCCCATTCAATGAAAAATATTGTACAGAAGAAGAATGTTCATAAAATTGCGAAATTCTGAGTGCAATACAAAATCTTTACGAAAATCCAGAATCAACGAATCCCAAAGACGGAAAATTTCCTCGAAATCACATAATCCCAAGTCGAAATCGAGAACCCCATAAAAAATATATATATTAACGAAACGGTAATTCGTAAAACCCAGAAACGGAATTGAATTCCTAACAATGAAAAGGGTTTCGTAAGGGTCACTTACCTCCTCCCTCTTTGGATTTCAGTAATTGTTCGGGAGATCGATCTAAGATTAAAGATGGAAGATCCGTTTTGTTGAATCGTTGACTGTGTCTTTCTCACTATTCATCAGTCACCAAAAATTAAGAAACCTGAGTTTTCTTCCTGCTGTCTTATGTGTACACGTATGCACATTTCGTTGTTTTTGTTTATCAAACATCGTGCCGTTTTCGTTTTCTGAGACTGGCCGTTAATCACAAAGATTACCTTTGACCGACGGCGTTGACGTTGACACGACGATGAGTGTTCTCTCTAGCTTCCATCAATCATGGAGGAGTTTGATTCTCGCGAGTCAGCGTTGCACAACACTGCGACAGATCAAATCGACGCATGCTCTGTTCATCATTCATGGCATCCATCGCAACACTTACGCGATTAGCAAACTTCTCACGGCATTTCTCCCTCTTCCCAATTTAGACAAACACTTTCACTACGCTTCCATTATATTCGATTCGATTGAGCTTCGTAACTCATTCGTTTACGATACTATGATAAGAATTTGCTCTCGAAGTTCTCGGCCTCACTTGGGTGTACGATATTTCCGACTAATGCTGACGGAAGACGACGAGGAGGATATAGCTCCCAGCTATCTCACGTTTCATTTCTTGTTGGTTGCTTTTTTGAATGCTTCTCTATTCTCTGTGGGTAAGCAAATCCATTGTTGGGTGATTAAAAATGGTGTTTTGTCATCGGATGGTCATGTGCAGACTGGAATCATACGGCTTTACATTGAAGGCAAAGTTTTGCCAGATGCCCGCAAAGTGTTCGATGAAATTCCGCACCCGGATGTTGTGAAGTGGGATGTTTTGATGAATGGGTATGTTAGATGCGGTTTAGGATCAGAGGGTTTACATGTGTTCAGGGAGATGTTGGCTCGAGGCACAGAGCCTGACAAATTCTCAGTTACAACGGCATTAACGGCTTGTGCACAAGTTGGGGCTCTCGCTCAGGGGAAGTTGATTCATAAGCTTTTGAAGAAGAAGAAATTGCTTGAATCGGATATATATGTAGGAACGGCACTTGTTGACATGTATGCCAAGTGTGGTTGCATAGAGACGGCTTTGGAAGTCTTTGAGAATTTGAGTAGGAGGAATGTCTTCTCATGGGCAGTCTTAATTGGAGGATATGCGGCTTATGGTTATGCTAAGAAAGCTATTATGTGTTTGGATCAGATGGAGCGAGAAGATGGTATTAAGCCTGACAGTGTAGTTCTTCTTACGGTCTTAGCCGCTTGTGCTCATGGAGGATTTCTTCAAGAAGGCAGAGCACTGTTGGATAATATGGAAGCTCGATATGGAATCACTCCGAAGCATGAGCATTACAGCTGTATAGTAGATTTGATATGCAGAGCTGGAAGATTAGATGATGCGGTTGATCTTATAGAAGGGATGCCCATGAAGCCGCTTGCATCTGTTTGGGGTGCTCTACTGAATGGTTGTCGAACGCACAAGAATGTTGAACTCGGAGAACTAGCTGTTAAAAATCTTCTTGACTTAGAGAAAGGAAATGCTGATGAAGAGGAAGCAGCTCTTGTTCAACTATCTAATATTTATTTGATTGCTCAAAGAAACACCGAGGCATCTAATATTCGTCGGATGATTGGTCAGAAGGGCATAAGAAAGGCACCAGGATGCAGTGTGTTAGAGGTGGATGGAAATGTTACCAAATTTGTTTCGGGAGATGTGTCACACCAAAATCTGCTGCAAATTCACACAATGATTCATCTCCTATCTGTTGATGCCTTGCAAATTCTGTAATTGTAACTCATGAAGCTGCAAATCTCATCGGAGGAAATTCTTGGGTTTCTTGTTTCTACACATTTCGTTGAGCACCTGTAATCTGCTATACACACTGGAGGGTCGTCCAAAGGCTATGTGGGAATGGAGACAATGAGTACTTATGAAAAACCGAGATGAGCTTCTGAACATGATGCAATTTCTTTATACTATTAAAGGGAAGGGAAAAATTTGACCCTCCAAACAGGAACTGGAAACTTAAACAAGGCCTGAAGAAAATGATGAACCTCTCACGAGGGCCCCTCAGGTTGGCATTGTGAAGAAATGTCTTATTCGGACTTTATGGTGACTGGAGAGTGGAAGAGAAGTGCATGAGCAAAAAGGGAAAAACACTAGCTACAGTTGTATGGCGTTTGGGCACACTTATGAGCATCTAGAGAGTAGAGAAAATTGAGACTCTTGACAGTGAAAAGAAATAACGTAAGACATAAAGGCTCATAGTATGTAGTCCATTGTCATATCTCTATATGCTATTACTACGTAATCAAATCTATTACTGCAGGTAACAAATTTGATTGGTAAGGGTGTGTCTAGTCTTCACTCAGGAACACTGGTTTGACCAGGTACACTCTTGTCTTTCTTAACAGTTTCTGCCTTGAGTTATGTTTTGCTTCTAGGAAATTTTTCTTGGCTTGCAAAACACTTGATGTTTAACAGATCTAGAATCATGTTTAAGAAATTCAATCCATATTATTTGTTGTCATTAGTATGTCACTTAAAGAAGCTTATTGACAAGAACTTGATGGGAAGCCTTACGAAAATCCCAACACAATATCTTCTTAAACGTTCGGCGTAGTATAGGGTTTTGGTTGCTTAGGTAGGATTTCACATACAGCCTGCTTTTAGCATCAAGTTGGTACACTCACGTTAAGTGGTTTTTTGTTGATCTACAGCATGTTACCGAAATACACAATAACAGAAACTAAATGTTTGTGGTCTTAGACAACAAACTCTCTGTACTTTTGAACCATTCTTCAAGAAGTGCTTGCAGCATCACCTGTATAATTTCACAAAGCAATACTCGAATCAGTTATGTTGGATTTAGGGCAACCATAGTTCAAATCTAACCGGATAACGGAACTAACTAACTGAAAAATAAAAGAATCCTATATTGCACACATTTCCATGACTGTTCTTTTGACCTCAGTGTCTAATTTATGCCCTGGTTCTTCATGGTTTTTGTAAGGTGGAAAATATGAACCAATGGAAAAAAAAAAAAAAAAAAACCTTTTGAAGACGAAGGGATCAAGACGACGTGCATCTTTGTGTTGTTGGGAGGGAGATGCAACCGAAGGGGATATAATTTGCCATTTAAAGGGTTTTTGGAACAGATTGATAAATCATTCAGACCTGTCTCTTCTTCAAGCTTCTGTTTCAGCTCTTCTAGTCCCAAACCCTTGAAACAGAAAAGCTCTTCCTTCGCTCTCTCGTCCACGTTCCCATTATTGTCCCCAACCCTGTAATAGATTAGCCTCCCATCTGCCTTGACCGGTGAGCAGACCCTGTCATCAGACTGTGATCATAGAAATGTAGATAAACAAAAGGTCATCGGTCAGTGTCTTTTGATGCAAGTATGCAACCATGCCCAAAGAAACTTGAGTGTAGAACTGATCAAACCTCTGTTTTAGAAAATCTTGGGGACATGAGAGAGAATCCTTTGGGTGAATTGGGCTCATCATGATCATCTTTTCTTACCCTCAGAAGCTCTGGTGGTGGCGGAGGAGGCGGGAGAGGCGTAAAAGCTGGTGGTGCTTTCTTCTTTCTGCTTTCCAAAATATCAATATCCCATAAAACCCAGTCCTGTGTGGCTGTCCTATGAGGAATATCATGTGTGATTGAGTTTCTCCACGGTGGTAAGCCCCCGTTAGCTCGAAGATATTGTCCATATCTATTTAATTCAAACAAATTCACACCATTCACTTTTAAGGAGACTATCGAGAAGAGATGTCTGAAGAACATAAACATGAAGAGAGATCAAAAGAAGAGGTGTACCTCGTCTTGAGCTTAACCTGGACGCCTTCTCTAATGGGTTCCCATTCGGTTGATGAGTCTAGCCTCCGTGGAAGCGTCTGTGTTACCTTCTTGCCGGTCATGCCAAGGAACATTGGGACGTTTGAAGCGGTTAGGTATTTGCCAAAGCAGCTCTTTAGGCGGATCACATTTGCCTCTTCTACAATTTCCACCGTCCATCTAGCGTTCATACACCGCCCGTCTCTGTCCTGGTTCACGGAATCTTCGTCCTCCTCCGCTAGAAGGTACTTGTCATGGTAGCTACGTAAACGCACGGTTTCGGCCTTCTTGAAAATCTCCATTATTGTTCTGCTGTGTCTAAATGCAAAATCATTCACAAAGCAAAATTTGGTATACAGAATTCGTTAAAGCCATGTATAAACAAACGGTAAAATCTGAATGCTTATATAATCTTTCCTGCGTTTGAATTTGAAAATGATGCGACTTTACACCTTCAATGATTGTAGATGGCCAGGGGCTGCAATCTCACCTTCAATGATTGGATTAATGCGAAAGATGTCCAGGTAATTTCGAACCTTTTTTTAGTTTCCCTGATTTGGATTAGAGAAAAAAGAGGTTTTTTTTGTTTTCTTATCCGTGGTAATATGTATCAGAGATTATTATTAAGAGTATAGTCGGGAACTACACGTGTATAAATAGCTGCTTATATTTGTAGGCATACGTATGTAGATGCATACAATGTAGGAAGATTTCATTTTTCATCTTATATAGTAATGAGACATTCAACCGAAGATCCTCCCACTCAATCAGAGTGTTTCCTAGACACAGTCAAGACTTAAAACCCGAGTCTAAGTCTTCCCTCTTCCTCTTGGAATCTTGAATCATGTTCAAACAACATTTCCTCTTCTTATTCGTCCTCGATATCACATAGAGCAAAACCAGCAATTTGTTCGAACAAAAAAGCCGATGTTGTTACACTGACTTGTTTCTAGGCTTTTAGCCATGTTCTTTAGTGATAGTCCCATAAAAAATGGTCGCAAATATTAACTCTGGTAGACCCATATTGTTAGTCTTTTGGTTTTCGCAAATGGAACTATGGTTTTTATTTTATTTTATTCGCAGTTGTAAATAGGCTTTGTTTCTGTTGGTGATAAAAAAAACAGAGAGATAAGACTCTGTTCCAGTGTTTTTCTATTTATATCTCTGTCTACAAACAAGGATTATCGTAATTATGCGTAATCTCTGTCTACAAACAAGGATTTTCGAGTGCTTGGCTTTTTTTTGTACACGTCAGCTTTGTTTCGTGGGTTATGCGTAAGCCGTCGCAATGATACATGGCTCAACAAAATTCTGAATCTTTCGAATACCTTAAAGAGAACGCAAACTATTCATAAGATGGACGAAACTACAAAGCTTTCAGAGTGATGATGATACAATCCAACAGATTCAAGTCTATATAAAGCAACTTAGGTTTCTTTCAAATTCAATGCTCTTCTTCACCATTTTCTTCAATCTTTTTCTTCTTCTCCTCCTCCTTTGCCTCTTTCTCTGCTTTCTTTTCCTTTTTCCTCTTCTTCTCTTCCTCCTCTTCCTTCTTCTGCTTCGCTTCTTCCTCAACCTTCCTCTTTGCTTCCTCCTTCTCCTCTTTCAAAGCTTCGATCAAACGCTTCAAACACGTCTCTGCTTCTTCTCCTTCTGATTTCGGCAACAGATTCTCCCCAACGTCCGCAGGTGTCATCTTTATTTCTTCAACCTCAAGCAACCTCTTGATCTCTTCAAATAGCTCACTCTCCTCCACATCCAAATAGTTCTTGGCCAATACCTTGAACGCTTCGAAACCGCAATACGACATCTCTATATGCTTATCCATTCTTCCTTTCCGAATCAAAGCCGGATCTAGCTTGTCCACAAAGTTTGTAGTGAACACAATGATCCTCTCTCCACCACAAGCTGACCATAACCCATCAATGAAATTCAATAACCCTGATAAAGTAACTTTGCTCTCTTTATTCTCACCTTCGTTTTGCATCATCTTCTTCTCCATTGCCTTCTTCTCGTCTCCATCTTCCTCTTCCTCCTCCTTCTTCTTTCTCTGTCCCGTGAGATTAAGCGAACAATCGATATCTTCAATCACAATAATCGATTTCGCAGAAGTTTCAATCAATAACCTCCTGAGCTGTGTATTATCCTTAACCGTTGTCAATTCAAGATCATAAACATCATACTCCAAGAAGTTGGCCATTGCAGCGATCATAGTCGATTTCCCTGTCCCAGGTGGTCCAAACAAAAGATACCCTCTCTTCCACGCCTTCCCGATCTTCTTGTAATAATCTTTACTCTTACTAAACTTAACCAAATCGCTCTTGATCTCTTCCTTCTTCTTCTCCTCCATAGCTAAAGTATCAAAAGTTGCAGGATGCTCAAACGTCACATGATTCCACTTTGTTTGATTTCCATGGCTCCGCTGTCCCGTAGTGTTCGAATATAGCTTCCTCTCTCTGTTCTTAAGCTCTATCGTCTTCCCTTCCTTCATAACATGCTCAAGATACCTCTCTATGATTACTTCTCGGTCACGTCTATGGAACCTCAACATGTAATATCTCTTCTCATCGGCTGCAGGGTAAAAAGAGATCGATTGCCTTACGCTCCCTTCTTTCTTGGACTGCCACCAAACCGTAACGTCCTCGAAATCGTCGGTGATCTCTTCTTTATCATCCATGCTAAGAACAAGAGACTTGCTTCCTTTGATTGTGTTGGCTTTGAGTTTCTTGGCTCGAGCAGAGGAGTCTTTGCTGAGATAGCTCTGGATCCCTAAGTAGGCCTCGCTTCGCTTGAAATGTTCTCCGCTGTATTCATGGAATGTTATTTGGATGTAAGGGTAGAAACGACCCAAGTGTCTTTGAAAAAAAGGTTCCAAGTGGTCTCCGAAGTGAGGGAACCATTGTTTGAAGATTGTGTATATAAACATTAGAGTTGCTAGAGCAGATCCTGTGTTAGCCCATAGTTGACCCATCGTCGCCATTTTTTTTTTTTTCTCTTGAAGCTCTGTTTTTAGGGCTTTGGAATAGGTTTTATTTAGGTTTCTTGAGTTAGAAGGAAAGTTTTTGAGATGAGTTTAAGCAGAGATTTTGATCGGGAAGAAAGGAGAATGTTGGCTTGGGGAAGAAGATGGGTGGTTCTGGTAAACAAGAGCTTATGATATTTATAATATCTGTATCAAGATATTAATAAATTTACTGGAGAAGTCTCTATCAAATATTTATATTATTAGTCTTTGTCTGCGTATGAACATGTGAGATCAGTAGGAAACCACCTAATGACGAAATTTGTATATGAAAAAAATATCATAACAAAACAAAAAATTGAAAAGAAGAGGAAATTGCACGGATTCCACCATCAATTCTTTATAACTCTACAAGACTACAATATGTATTAAATTACAAGGATCCATTAAAAAATAGACACATCTACTATTTTACCAGTAGATGCCAAAAGAATCTGAAGTGTACTGCATTGATTTTGATTTAATAAAAGATGCAACACGTAATGGTGGACTAAAAGCATTTTGATATCCAATTTTCTTAAAGAGCAAGTTTCAAATTGGATATTATTTGTTTAGTAGGTATATCGCCGACTCAAAATCGAAATTTGACATCCCCTAGTCCCTCTCTGACGATAAGTCTAACTGTGTTGCCCTTAAGTCCGCCTAGATGACAATTGAATCTTCACTTTCAATAAGATTATAGATAATTTGATATATGTTAACATAAGAAAATTATAAATGTAGTATCTAGAAGTAAAATCAAAGAAGCAAAACATATGAACTTTGCCAGGAGAGAAAACAAATAACAAAATCATTAAAAAAATTAAGACATAACTCATAATGGTTTTAAGCTTTAAGAGATTAAAAAACGCATTATATCAGCCATCTAAGTTGGAATAAAATCTTACAAAATTATTGGTTTTGGTACCCAAAAAAAAAAGTAACTTTTTCCCAAGAAAAACTTAAAATCCAACAATATGATAGAGGATAAGTACGCTATGAAACAATTTTGCTGATTTCTCGTGGTTCGTGACATCATGTCATCGTGTATATTAGTATATACTATAAAGTTTCCGGGAAGATGTCTTTTCTAACGTAGGACGACAATTATTAATATATGTTGAAGCTCAATTTATCCAGTCACGTACGGATTGAGACAATTAAGAAGTGGTTAGGTAATTAGGTCCACATAACCAAGAAAGAGAACATCTGTGATTTCCTCTTATATAAAATTTCAGACTCATTGAAACTTGGTAGATCTAATTTACTTAGACCACACAGTCAATCATTAATTTAGGTCATGACGGAGGAGATAATTTCTTGGGTACCAAGGTACCATCTTTTCATATCTGTAGATTCGCCGCAGAGAATCTCTTGATGATCCATTAATTTGAGTTCATATGTAGAAATTTATAATCAATGGGACCACGATTAACTAAAAAAAAAACAGATGGCTTATTAATTGGTGTAATTTAATTGAAAAAACATGGCAACATATGTTATTGTTCTTTCTACTTACTATATGTCTTTCTTGCATTTTAAACAAAAAATAAATATTGCTTTGAAAAACATGTAACATGGTGTTTGGAGTAGGATATAGACGCTTGGAGAAATAATGTTGCCAGTTATATGCTAGTAAGGAAAAATAATAAAAATAGTTAAAACCTGTGATAATTAAGATTCATCACAAAACACTGATCAAATTACCAAATAAACTAGAAAGTAAAATACCAATACTTATCCAATTTTAGCACAATTTCAATACTTAAGAAGTGATAAAGATCTAGTTAAGCAGATTTCGAAACTTCTTTTTAGGTTTCTTCTTGTTGGAACAGTGATCAAACGCCGTTCTTGTTCTTTGTGATTGCCGCTAAGATTTCAGTGACAAGGTTTGCTCTGTTTCCTTCGCTTAGGGTTTCATCAATATCTGCTTCTTTTGGTTTCTTGTTTTTCTTTTTGTTTGCCTTATCTGCTTTCTTCTTCTCTTCTTCCTCAGCCAACTTCCTCGCTTTCTCCTTCTCTTCCACCAAAGACTTAACCAAACGCTCGAGGCAAATGTCTCCATCGTCTTCATCAGATTTCGGCATCAAATTCTCTGCAACATCAGCAGGAGACATATCGGTTTCTTCAAGCAATCTCTCGATTTCTCCAAACAAATCATGTGACTTGATCTCCAAGTAATTCTTAGCCAAAACCTTAAATGCTTCGAACCTGCAATAAGACATCTCAATGTGGTTGTCCATTCTTCCTCTGCGTATCAATGCCGGATCAAGCTCATCCACAAAATTCGTTGTAAGAACCATAATCTTCTCATCACCACAAGCTGACCATAACCCATCAATGGCGTTTAATAGCCCCGACAAAGTAACCTTGCTCTGATATCTTTCTTCATGTAACTTCTTCTCCATTCTCTTCCTCAACTCCTCTTCGTCTTCCTCTTCTTCTTCCTCCTCCTTTCTCGTCCTCTTCTGTCCCGTAAGACCCAGCGAGCAATCAATATCTTCAATCACAA